GTATCATTTCGAAGTTTTTTCAGTTGAACTTTAAGTCGTTTCATACCAATTTGATAACCATTCATTTGATGAATAGCTGCTTGAGCTGATGATGGATTATCAAAACTTACGAAACCTTTTATTTTTCAAAAAAAAAATTTAAATTTGAAAAAGAAAAGAAAGAATTTAATAATTTATATTTACCAAAACATTTACTTCGATTTGTTGTTTTATCAACAAATACTTTAGCCGATATAATAGGTCCATATGGTGCAAAAGCTTGAGCTAAATCTGTATCACTGTATTCTTGTGGAAGATGGTATATAAAAAGATTTGCACCATCAGGACCTATTCAATAATAAGATAAATGATTTTTCATAAATAATTCAAATAAACAAACCTTCAGTATGTTTGCCAGCTACTTGCGTAGTCATATATGATGGAGATGGAAAGACAGGAAATGAAGCTAAAAATATATTTTTTGTGTAAGATATTCATAGAAAAATATGTTTTAAAATCTATTTACCTTGTGGTGCTGCCGATGAATTTGTAGTTGAACTTGGATGCATATTAGTCGGTAAAAGACCTTTTAATAACTTTTAATTATGATTTTCTTATTTTATAATCTATGATAATTACCTCCATTGTTAAGTTGTGACATAGCAACAAGATTTTGTAAATTATGATGAGCATCTGCACCACCATTTGATAATGTACTACCATTATTTGCGTAGAGTGAAGGCATACTTGATGGATATGGATTATTACCAGGTGTAGTAGCGGATGGTGTTAAACCACCATTTTGATTATGATGATTTGTTGGTGGACCACCGGTATTATTAGGACTTGGTCCACCGCTATTATATGCACCTGTTCCACACATAAGTAATGAAGAATCATTATTATAAGTACCATTATTAGGATTCGGTGGAGGTGGTCGAGGTGAATTTAATGTATGTTGTTGCTGCTGTTGTTGTTGATCTTGCATATTTAATGATTGATTACTATCATGTTGTGAATTTAAATTCATATTAGATGATGTACCAGATGTTGGTGGTAGAAGTGATGGTTTATTACCATTTAAATTCATATTATTTGAAAACATTTGTAAAAGATTATTCAATGCAGCGAAATTTATTGCTAAAATAAAAGATAAATATTCATTTCAAACATATATCTATCAAATTACCAGTGCCATTATTTCCAAGAAAACCATAACTTTTAAATAATTGCTGAAGAAATACTAAATTACCTATTTCAGGTAGAAAATTATACGTGTTCATATGTTGAGGGTTAGGCTAGTGAGAGAAAACAAAAAACACGATAATAAATTTTATTTTCCTATATAAATATCTATTGAATTACCATGGAATTTCCTGGAGTAAACTGTTGCATAAGACCATTATTCTGAGTTGTAAATTGTTGTTGAATTTTTTTTGTTTCTTTATCTTTAGGTGTATCAGCAAATTTCACTACAAGTGGAGAAGAACAACCCTAAACAGAAAAAGAAGATGATTTTCAAATACAATAGAATAATCTACCTCCATTGTTTGAGATTGATGCATTGATTTAATCGCATTTAACGCACATTGTCGTTTTTGAAAAGTAACAAATGCACATCCTAGTAAAACAAATAACTTTTCTTCAATTAAAAATAAAAATTTAATTTTTTTGTTTTAACCTCGACTTTTGCCATTTGCATCTCGTAATACTGTACAATCTTCGATAGTACCATAGGATTGAAAAATTGTACGAATATTTTGTTCATCTAAATTTTTCGATACCATACCAACAAATAATTTCCGTTCTAATAAGAAAAAAATAATTTAAATATGAGAAATTTTCGTTTTTTTGTCTTTTACCATTTCGATTTTCTGTATCAGCAGGTTTCATTTGTATTGGATGATGACTACCATTTAATGTACGTAAATTATGTAAAGCATTTTGTGCATCTAGTGCTGATTTTCGAGAATAAAATGTTACAAAACAACAACCTTTTGATTCACCAGTTTGTTTGTCACGTAAAACATTTAATTGAAAGACAGGACCAAACTGTTCAAACATTTCACGTAATTCTGATTCATGCATATTACGTGGAATTTGTCCACAAAACATTTTAATGGCATCTTGATCGGGTTCATGTTTTTCAAGATTTGTTGCTGAAACAGCAGTTGATGATGGTGATGATGATGATGTTGTTAAATTTCCTGGAGTATTCATTAGTGGTTATTAATAGTTTGTTGAAAAAAATACATTGATGAACAAGACGAGACGATATTACGAAAAAAAGACGTTAACGAATATTGACGAACAACGACGACGACCATCGCAAGGGGACAAGACGACGAACGAGAACGAAGGGACAACTAAAATGAGAAGAAAAAAAAACAAAATAAATAAATAAATAAATATATCTATTGATTTAATCAATAAATAAATAATTCTATCAAAATGAGTTTTTAAAAACATTAACTATGTAAAAAATAAACACATATAATGTCTATCGAAGATTTTATCGTATAGACAAGAACGAACGAATCAAATAACCAACCAACTGACTTTATGTTTACTCTATTTACAAACCTTGTTATTATACAAGAGAACAAAACACCAGCCGATGCACAGGAAGCTCGTCGCTAAGAGAAACTTCATAGATGTCGTTATATATTGAATCGAGAGAATAGAAAAAAAATCGATTTCCCTTATATGTAGAATAGAAGTGTGTCAATATCCAAATGAAAAATTTTTGAGTTTCCATTACAAAGATTTTTATTCAAATAAACTTTCTTACAAACTAACACTTCAATACATATTTACAAATAATTTAATGAACATATATATTTAAAACAGAAAAAAAACAAAAAGGTTCAAATTATGGCATTGTAGAAACATCTTCATTATCATACAAATCACATACATCTTCAGAATCATCCATTACAAAATGATAATCATCTGACTGAGCCATTTCACCCAATGAAATAAATGGTTCCGTAGAAGCTAATTGTTCATCGGTAGTATTTGATAATGGAGTTGTATTACGATTTAATAATTTTAAATTAACAGGATAATGACGAGTTTGTAAGTGAAATTGATGAGACATTTTATCATCATTCTATATTGTATAAAAAATTGTTCGAATATATATTTATTTTTTGATAAATTTCTTACTTGTATTTCATTTATTTTCATCACTGTACCATTGATTCCTTCAGCAATAACAATGACTTCATCATCCATAACTTGACATAGATCATCTTTTGTCAAATAAAGAACACTAATATTTAAAAAAGAATAAAAATTTGTTTTTGATCTTTAAAATTTACTCTTTTAAAGTTATATCATCCAATGTATTTGCAATACTACGTTCAATTAAACGAAGTTTTTCACTCCAAAATGTTGATTCATCTTCAAGTTCTTGCAACTGAGCTTGAGCTCGATGAAGACGTTCATATGCTTCGACTGTATTATCACCAGATATAGCACCTCTTCAAATAATTCAAGAAATGTAGTTTTTAAAAAAAATAAAATATCGTATTAAACGTACTTCCATTTAATAGTATTCTTCGATTGTTTTTCAATAAGACCAATACCTTCTAATACATTTGTAATATCATATATTCGTCGTTTTTGTTTTGTAGCAAGAGAATCTGCAACCTATAATTGTAGAAACTAACTATACATAATTGTTAACTAAACTAAACATACATGTTTTAAGTCCATAATCCCAGTTTTCGATTGTCTTAAAAGTGACATAAAACGACGTGTTAAAGTTCCTAGACTTTTCTCTTGACGTGAATAACCAAATCGTCTTTTTGTTGGTGTACCTCCAGTAGAACTACTACTAGTTACTGCGGCTGTATTCGAACCTGAATCATCATCATCACAATCAGTTATAAGAAATGGACATGATGATGTCGTAGTAGTAGTAGTGACTGGTTTCAATGTAGATACTTCATTTGGTAGATGTTGTTGAGCCATAGAGAACTGTATAACGAAAATCAAATTCTATATCATGCTTGCTTATTATTCCGCTTTTCTTCTCTTACAACAACTAATCAAATTTAATGAAATCATGAAACATCTATGCATTTCTAATATTTCGTTAATAGTGAGGTTGAATGTAAAACAATGATTGGATAAAATATATAGACGAGAGAAAGAGGAAGAACGTCAAGCGACAAAAAAAAACAACAAACCACACACACATCACATATAAGGTGTGTTTGAAAAAGAAACCACGCGATGTCGTCGATTACGAGTAGTGTATCGGAAAATACGATCAAACTCGATTATCTCGGCTCGCCAGTATCCCATATTACTCGACCATATTCGAATATACATGGTGATATTGATACAAAATCTGTTGGTTCAAAATCAGTAGGTTCACGTACATCGAAATTAACCTATAGCGGTAAAATAAACAAAATAAATTATTAATGAAATTCATATATATTTTGTTTTTTTTTGATATTTAGAATATCCACAAGTAAGACCAACGAATCCACTCTATTCGAGTACATTTACTATTCGAACTTTATCATCGGGTATTTCAAATGCATCAAGTACGGCAACAGTTGTTGAACGTCGTAAAAAATTTGATCCACAATTACCAAAACGTCCTAGTGATTGGCGTTGGTTTGCTGTTCTTTGTATTTTTCTTTTTCCACCAACAGGTAAAATAGAAACAATTCTTTTTTTTTTGATAACATTTATTTTTCATAGGTTTAATTGCATATGGTCTTGCTCGTAAAGCACAGATTAAATGTAGAGATGGTTTTCTTGATGAATCACGTAAATTAAATAAACGTGCTCTAGCTTTATGCATTATTAGTGTCATTTGTGGTGTTGCTCTTATACTTGGCTTTTTCTATGGACTCGATTCATGGCCACGATCAAATGGTTAAATATTAATCAAATTTATTATTTTTAACATACTGGTTATGGGCTTACATTTTGCTTATTTGTCAGATATATTTATCGACTTGAATAATTCAGGAATGACAATGATCGCTTTTTCTTTTTACATTCCATTTTGTACATTTTTTTCTTCTTTGGTTTTACTATTTAGAATTCAGAGATCAGATCTGAATATCTTGTTTTTACATGTTCAATTAAAAATTCTCATAGATAGTTTAGCCATTACTGTTTATCTCTATGTAGATATATTGACAAACACACACAAAATATTTTTATTTGTCAATCGTTTTTAAAACGAAAAAACAATGTTATACGTGTGGTTACTTTTTAGAATAAATAAATATCTTAGTGTTATATATATACAATGAAATCATTTCATCAAAAGCCATTTGGCAATTAAATATTTAACCTATAATGATGTTCTTGAAAGTTTTGTTTTATATATTGTTAGATAAATGTCTGTGCTCATATATAGTAGTAAATAGAATACAATATGAAAGACTTTCAGAAGCTAGAGAAGAGAAAGTGTGTTACTATCGAGTGTTTGGTATGTTGCGACAGTCTGCTTCATCCCATGAACAATAGCAGGCCAAATTCACATCTTCAAGATGACACGTCCCACAACAATTACAAGTTAGGCATCCTCATTTTTAAGCTTAATCCACCAGCTATTTATGCCCTGATTTTTCCTATTTCGATACTTTTTTTTTCATTTTATTATATCACTTGAAATCAGACTAAGCGTAGAAGCGGCGCTTGAAAAGAAAATGAGATTAAGGACAAAGCAGTGGGTTCATGTTCATCACTACTGTGATATCTCTCTGCAAAAGTCATCGTTGAAACAGACGACGATCAGAGAGGAAAGTTCGTGATAGTATCAAAAATGTAAGTCAGTCGCTTTGGACTAAAGTGATTATGGTCGTATTCGACATCGCCAACTAACGAATGAAGCCTTGAAAGTTTTCATATACAAGTCTGAAGGAACAACGAAGATGATAAAGATCAGAATCGACGGAGTGAACGAAATAAAATAAGCACCTAGATATAACCACAAGTTCTTCGAAGTTCTCACGCATCCAGGAAGTGCAGAGATGACTAGACGAGGCATTGATAAGACAAGTATAGCTACAGGACTGATGATCAGTTGTTTATGCTCACGGAACTGTTCACGAACATGTTCTTTGAAACTGCGATCAGTGCGTGCTGCTGATCGATGTCGAGCAACGCCAAAAATGATGAACAAAGCAGAGAAAAGATTCACAATAAATGGACCAACAAGATGGAAAAATAGAATCACAGTATTGTAATCTTGAACAGAAGGAGAATAACGAATGACACACCACACGTGTCGATCCAGTGTACTATCATAGATTGTTGTCACCGGTGTTTTATTTCTCCCAGTCTGGACTATCTCTGTGGACTGGTTTTTAGCGTCGTATAAATAAACTCTACTGGTCTCGGTTTGATACTCAAACATTTTCCGATGTAGAGGTTCGTGAATAAGACTAGCCATGACGCAGATTGGTAAAATGAATATAATCCAACGAGCAATCCTTTTGCTCTTCTTGTTGTCAAAATGAACTCCTTTGAAGACATGCACTGCCCGTTCAACAGCTATACAAGCATTCAACCAAGTATCGACGTAGAGAAAGAGTTTTAGAATGGGCTCTATCGCTGTACAACCACCACGAACAACAGAGGCACTGACAGATGTATTGATCTGAGTGAGAACCACAAACCAAAAATTCACTACGAACATGCTGATTGTTAGAAGAGAAGTGATGGACGATGTCAGTAGATACATTCCACAACCAACTTGTTGTACTTCTATGTTGCGAAATGTGAGAAAAGAAAGAACGCTATTGATTACTCCGGCGACGAGCATAATAATTGATAGTGCTGCACTTGTCTTAATCGAAGGTGATTGATCAGTGAATGTTGCATTCGGTAGTACTTCTCCGCGCAAAATATCATCGAGAGGCAAACCAATAGTCGTACTATAAAACTGACATCGATCTCCAATGGTACAACTACGATGTCTTGAACCTAAAATATTATTGAATGAAGCATCAACACTACTCTACTAAAACGAAGTCATTTGATTCATTTCTGATAACTATTCATGGTAGAAAAAATAATACCGCAGGTACTTAACTTTTTGGAAAGTTTTTTTCTCAGTCCCCCAAACGATCACCAAGCCCACATTCCGCGGTAACTGGAAAATGGCATATGGTTAAAGTATCTCTAATGTTTTGTTTCTATTCAGAATAGCTCGGCGACAAGTTGAGAGCATAATATGAAATTCTATAAGAGTACGGATCAAGTAGAAGAAGTAAGGAGGACAACCGTTTTGAAACACGATAGAATCTAATTAATTTTTTTAATATATTTTATCTGTGATTAAATAATCAAATTCTCGTATCTCTTCTTTTTCAAAAAAGAAGGTTTAGCAAGGAAACTGACCATCGAAATATCTAATCGTGAAAAGACGTTTGCTTCCTGATATATTGTACGAGACATATCCGAAGTCTCCTTCGAATGAACTGACAGTCCATGTTCTTTCTCCCTTTCGTTTTCCTTATTGGAAAAAATACGGCATCAAACACATACTGAGTTTCTTGACATTGATATTGGTTTGACCAGATATGAAAATGGAAAAGTTTCCTGTCGTATTTGGATAGTATGTTGTGACAACCAAGACATATTGCGTATTCGCTTGAAGATTGACGATGAATTTCAGCTGTTTTTGATTACAATAGCCGCCATGTTGAAAAAGCAAATTTCCAAAAGGTTGCAATGGGTCAAAATCATTTTTGTAGATATAACCATATGTTTCCATGTTGCTCTCACTCCACAACGTGTATGTGTCTGCTGCGTAGACATTGATTTGGAATGTCTGATAGTAAAAGTTTGATTGTCGATAATCCCGACAGTATTTTAAACTATCAGTAGTCAGCTCAGATGAATAATTGAATAGAATATTGACTGGATTGACTATTCAACAAAAAAGAAGAATCTCTATTCAATATTTTCAAAATGCATGTGTGTAAGATAATCACTCAATAGATACGCTTCGAAGAATACATGCTGATTCGTGTTGATGTCGAAAAACGAGAAACCATTCGAGTTATGCGACAAAACTCAAGATGAAAAATATCGAGATACATTTCCTCTGCTATCTTCGATATCAAGGTTGGTACTTTCTGTCGAAAGCAAAGCATCATAGTCATGTTTTAATCGAAACTAGACAAAAACCACTCTTAAGATTTAGATGTCTACTATATACTTCTGAAATCCTCGTGATTATTCGCATCGATCATACTCTCTGTTGGCAATCATATATGATAGTTGAGATGTGGTTTATAATCTAATTAACTTAATGCTTATTAGAGAGAGGTAATTAACAAATCATTTCATGTGTATCATATAAAAACATTTTTTGAATGAAATCAAGCACACAACTTTAGGTAATTTCTTTATCTATCTCGGCAGAAGATTTATCAGTAATTAGACAACAGAACTCGAATGGCGAACCTCGATGAATCATTTACATATGTTATTTTGAAATGAGATTTACTTTCTTGAGTTTAGTGTTTCCTCATATAAATATGATATCATTAGGCTTTTTCTCATGAAAAGCAGGCAATGGGATAAGAAACAAACTTTATATTTAATTCCGCTTTTCAACGAAACAAATATTTTCACTCACTGAGCCGCTTGATCGTGACGTTCTGTAAGCCCAATACATTGATCTTGATTTCACCAGTGGTACTTGGACGATACGTTGTCACAACCAATATGTATGTGGTATCAGCATAAAGAGGAATTTCGAATTTAAATTGGTCATTAGGTGCTCCATCATCATCTTTTTCGAACAAATTGTCAGATGGATTGAGTGGATTGAAACTATTTTCATAGATATATCCGTAAGTATCGATGTTGCTGCTGCTCCAGATTGTATAGTAACGACTTTCGGGCACCTTTACCTCGAATGCATCATAGTGGAAGTTGTCTTGGTTGCAGCCTTGAGAATACATTTGACTCTTTGCAGTCAATTCTGTTGAGTTTGCCCATTGAATAACCGATGACATATCTATGCAATAAAAAAAATCAACGTATTATTGTGTATATTTATAGTTTCCGACGGAACTTGTTTTGCAAATTTAGTTTATCATTTACATTTATTTTACTAAGAAAAGCTTCGAAGATAAAATTAAACAAAGTAATAACTCATGACTTCTTACAATCATTATAGAAAACTGTCTGATATATTTTTCAGGGACAAGATTATCACGATTCTAGTCATCGTTCTTCAACGTGTGCTTCGATAAGCTGTATTTTAGAGGAAAATATCGTCAACTGAAATAGTGCTGAGTTAGAAGCAACGATCCTGTTTGTATCAAATATAGTGGAACATTTTGTTACTATGCACTATTTAACTTTAGCGAATATCTCTTAATTGTCACTTGCTCATAGCTACGACTTGTTATAATTAGTCTTCATGGACTAGAATGAACAAAGCAAAACTGCAAATAGTTCATAGCTAGCTAACGGCAAACACTCGTCTAGGATGAATCATCTCGCAAGCTTTTTTTCTATCATCAGTCGAAGTAATTTAGTTACCATCGATCGCAATGCAGTTAAGGTAAAGAATATGATCACTCTATCCTATATTGGTTCTAAACTATCGTCAATAGATTTCTAAATCTTCTTTTCTCCATTTGAATGTCTTACTTTGATAAGTTCTATCGGTGCAAAGTTATTGAAAAAACATAGAGCATAGTTCATGCGCGGATCAATCTATTCAGGATTCTTTCGTTACAATTATTACCTAGTCATCCTCGATTAAATGATCCATTTTAACATATAGTATGTTCCAAAATGATCCGCATAGAAGTTTTTTCGTATGTCTTTATCATTATGAATAGTCTAAAATTTGACTAACTTTCGTCGTAGATTTTGAAATACACTTCTCAGACAAAACAGATATTTAAGTACGACTAAGAGTTGAAATCTATAAAGAAAAGATATTGTATTTTGTTTTTCTTGCTGGTAAGACGCAGACAAAGCTTTCTCATTGTTGATCATAACTGATGGTTTTTGGCAAGTAGTATGCGGGTCCTTTAGGTCAGTTGAAACTGAATACTCTCACACACAATTTAAACACACTTATGTTAGTAGAGTAAAATATATTGGCAACGATACATAGACAAATAGCTAAGGAAGTTACTTTTGGGACACACGGTTCTCACACTGAACCTGAGGAGTCCAAAACTTAATTTTCTTTTCAAATTTAATTGTTATTAAACGGTTCTCATCGAGATTTCTGTTTCTAGCTAAATTTCACTTTTTAACAAATACATATTCATTAATATGATATAAATTTCTTCTTGTATACATTCTTTATCTTCAACTTACTACAAGAACTTTTCAGATATAGAAACTTCTGAATTCGATTGTTGCCTGTGTCAGTAACGAACAGATTTCCAGAACGATCAAAGCTGAGACTAGATGGAAACAACAAATGCGTCAGTTGAGGATTACCGCCACGACATCCGACTACACATTGTAAGCCATGTGGTCCCAATCGAACAATTCGATGATTGTTGGAATCGACAATAAAGAGGTAATTTGCAGCATCAAATGCTATTCCAGTTGGACACGAAAGTGTACCTGCAGGATTGGAAGATCCTCGTCCGGCAATTGTGACGCCATCTAATTTTCCTGATCGAAAGTGTTGCACTCGATCATTTCCACAATCCGCTACATATAAATCTGAATTCCAAACAACAAAAATCCCTCGAGGCTGATTAAGTTCATATGTGGCAGATCCGGGAGTGCCCGTTCCACCTACGATATCCGTTCCCATCATATGATCATGCAAGTCTCTTTTCAGAACGCGATGTCGTCTCTCCATTGAACAATATAGATTGTCATATATGTCCACAAAAAGACCATAACATGAAGAGAAAACATCCATAACAGTAACCCAAGTATCAGTACTTGATATCCATCTCTCAACGCGACTATTCTTTTCGCCGTTATCGATAAAAATATCTCCGTCCGATGTAACGAAGAGAGAAGATGAGTTCGAAAAATCAAGAGGAATAATCGTTGCTGGATCAATAGTATCTTCATACCAAACTAAAACTTGTTTCTTTTCTTTATTGATCGTGTAAACGGAGTTTTTCTCGTTGATAAAAACAGCAAGAGGTTCAGAACCAAGTGTTGGCTGCTTAGCAACAGTAAATCCATTGCGGTTCCAAACTGGTGTTGGGCAAAATTTTGGTTGATTGAATGCAAGAACTAAACAAAAAAGAAAGAGACAATGAGGTAGAGTGCAAAGAAAATTGCTGTTTCACTTACTTCAAATAGAATACTTCAAACTCGAAGAACTGATTAGAAATCAAACAGAATTGGAAGAAAGAGATTCAAAGATGAAATCATCATTCATCTAAATGATAGATATTGAGTCAAGAATGAAATTACTGAATATCTTTTCAAACTGTGTTTGATGAAAAAACGTCTGATGGTTTAAATTATTATTCTTAGTTTTATTTTGATGAAAGGTCGCTTCTCACTCCAGAAATAGTGGACAATCAAGTGAAAAAATATCGAATAAAAGACTAATATTTAAAAATGAACTAATTGGACAAATACAAGTGAAAGGTTGTTCATAGCTATCTTTTGAATTCATAAGGCTCGGTATTTTTAATCAAGAGACAAAATCAATAGATGTTGTACCGAGAATGATATCACGCTATCGGTCACATACCCGCTTACGCTCTCTACTCATTCTTTCGTTCTTAGCTACGTTTCATCGTTCTGTACATTCGTTCCTTTATTTCTCTCTCTAATAAAAACGTGTGTTATGTTTGAAATCTACACATCATGGACATGGACAGTAGCCAATAAACATCATACCGACAGCAATGATAAAGCTACTCGCCCAGTTTTTCATTATAGATCTCAGCAAACTTTGAACTTTCAAATAAATCTTAATCGAAATTCTATTGTTTATCTTTGGTTTCTTTTTTTTCTGGGTAACGTCTATGTGAAAACTATCTTGCTGTATGATCGGTTGATGTTGCTTATCTTATTCAGATATTTTCAACTTACCACAAGAACTTTCAAGCAGATGAAACTTTTGAATCCGAAGATTATCTTGATCAATGACAAGCATATTTCCAGAGCGGTCAAAACTGAGAGCGCTTGGGTGCGACAACTGATTAGATCGAGAACCTTTACCATAACATCCAACTAAACATCGAAAACCATT